GAAGCCGGCGACAATGTGAAGGCATCTACTGGCTTCTTTTTGGGGTATACCTCTTCATATGTAGTTTTTTGAACACAGGCGACAAATCCCTCACCCCTAGGGAAAGAAATATCTGGAAGAATACTACGGATAGAGTTATATATCGAAACATATTTATCCGTTTCCTCTGACTCGTTTTTTGACGACTTCATTAAAATGTTTTGTAAAGCTTCGAAATGTTTCCTTGTGGATTCGCAGTCGTCGCAAGTCCATTTCGAATCTTCTTCGTGGGTTACTTCAGTCAGGAGGTCCTCTTAGACATTTTCTGTGAAACCAAGTTCCACATGCCATGCATTTTTGCATTTTCCACCGTCGTCAGGCATACGGCAACAGCAAAAAATGTCGCAAAACCATGAAAATGTGGGGTTTTCAAATCCATTTCTCGATTCACAGCAATGTTGAAATAAGCCTCCATCGAACGATTCTTGAAGCATTCAAGTAGACCATGGCGTATGTTTTGTTGATTAATTTGCCTTCCAACGGGGTCTACTGCAACGGCGAAAAGTCCGCAATCATCCCCACCCACCTGCTGAGTAACATTGGCAACTCTGGCCGCTAACCGATTTTCTGGTAAATGGAGAAAACTGCACGCTGCTTGATCAACTATTGAGGGATATCGTATTTGATCTTCATCTTGATTTTGGTGATCTTTCGACGATTTCACAACGCTCATTTCCTGTAGGCTGTCATAGATTGTATATTCTTTTTCTTGGGAAACGACATTGGATATGCAGATCCAATGATTATATCCAAAATGCAGAATTTGGATAAAATTTCGCACATTTTCCTTTCGTTGAAATCCATGAGTTGGTCCAATGATTACGTCGTCAAGTCCATTGAGGTCTGGACGCTTAAGAAGGTCCATTGCCGCATTTATATGTTTATCACTGAGCCATGCTCCAGTTTTTCAATCATGGACATCGTTATTTGTCAGAGACAGATCATTCATCAACTCCAGATCGCATTCACTTTCGACCTTTTCGCGGTCTCTATCATCCGTCTGCACGAGTTTCTCTGTATTATAATTGTTCACAAGGTTTGGGTTCAGGTTTTGCGGCATCTTGGTGCGCATACTTCAGGAGTACCCATATTTGGTTTGCGTATTTTGTGATGTGATAGTTTTACCAATCATTTTACGAATGACTATTACATATAGGTAGTTAATTAAGCTTAAATAAAAGTTGTACTTATACGCTCTTGGATATGTTAGACGCCACTTAACGAAAAAATATCAAAATTACTAATGACATATGCAATATTTATGCTTCATTATCCGGTTAACCGTCACAATAATAATCCGATATCAGAAAGCAATATACCTCTCGGTTAACCGTTTTTCTGGATAATCATACCCTACTTTCAATATTTCACAAAATTCGAGACCGAAATTTAATATTTTTTCGAAATATACCCCATTTAAAAAGACGTTGGAAATGTTTATCGAGAAAGGGAAACTAGAAAAAGGGAATTTTGGGGAAAATTTTATAGTTACTCATAGTCATTTAGGCATAAACAATTAATGTACAAAATTTTATGAGGCTTTGTTGTATGAAAGTTCCATAGTTTGCCTTTTACCCCCTTTAAACAACTCGATCAATTTAAGACACATGTTTTGTGTTTCGAGGTATTCTATCGGTTTACATCACCGATATATGAATGTGCATTTAATGCATATGCATATTTGATCGCATATGTTTACATCACCGATATATGAATATGCATTTAATGCATATTTGATCGCACCGGCAAAATTACGAAGGCTGTCAGAATGATGTCGAAAGCAAAACCTCTCAGTGGCGCACAGAAACGCAGAAAAAGGGCAGAAGAGGAAGCACGGATGAAAAAAATTAGAGTAACCAAGATAAACGGCAAGTTTTAGGTTACCATTGCCTTTCAATAGCGACATGTTATGCTTTTTGACGAAATAAAAAAAGAGTTGTTTTAGCTTATTTAGGGTCATTTCCACGAAATATTTTTGCAGGGGGGCCCACGAGAGTCTTGCTACGCCACTGTACTAAGCGTTAGGAATACGCTCGCTACCGCACCTCTGATTGCCCGGCGTGGGTTCGCAGGTTCGAATACCATGTGGGCCTGATCGTGTGCGAGAGGATTGCTGGACTCCTCGCCACCGTAGGGTGGTTCATGTACCGCTGGTCGATTACGACTTACTTCAAACCCATACTCTCCGAAAAAAAAAATGACTAATTAATCCCATATCCGACCTCAACTGGTAATGGTAACCAGACGACAGCCGTCGTTCGCCATATGATTGAGCCGTCTCATCAGATTTCCTCTGCCCAAGGATAAATATGTAAATCCTAATCCTATATGCCAATAATGTAAATGAGATCATTTAAATTGATCGATATCCCCGTCTTTTCTGAATATTTTAGTATATATTTACAATCATATTTTATTATTTATGATGACTATTACATCAGAATGATAGTGCCATTTTTATCAATCAATCCAGTGAAATTCTTTGTGTTCTCTTCTTCGATTAATAACGACTAAAATTCCCAATTCTTCGATTCCATTAAAGCAGCAATCTATATATACTCAAATTTATATGCGAAAATCAAATGTACAAAAATGCTTATTCAGAGCCCTTTTCAAAGGACGTGTGTAATGCCCAATAATAAATGGGGCTGCATATCACCAAAACTTCATTGAATAACCACGGCAGAAAGTAAATATCAAATTACAATGACATATCACCGGTCGAGTACCAAGTCGATTTGAATTCTATTATAGGCATAGTATTGACCCTATGTAGGTAATTTTCGATTCCCGTCATCAAATTGGTCGCGTACAAAAAAGGCTATATAGAATGTAGGCTTTCCCGCTGTCGCGAATCATAAAGTGGTCTATTTTGTGAAATGTAACATACTATCAGTATGAAAGGGTTAAATACATATGATCCATAGTTACACAATTCACATTCGCTACACAACTCCGCAGCGACAGTAAAAAAATTAGCTTGGTATTTTTAAATTTTGGAGTCTGGCCGCCGAGAGATGAAATTCTAAAAACAAAATAACACGAATTAATAAAAGACATTGATATGATATAGTGAATAATGGCTTAGTTAAACGAGAGAATCTACGTCGGTTTACGAGAAAAATAAAATTCGAGTATTTTTTTAAAGGGGTCTTTGTGTTGCTTTGAAATGCTTAACATTTCGAAAATGAAATTGTAACGAAATAGTAAAACAAAATGGCGACGACACTTAAAGGAAGGGACACAGAGGAATGTAAAACGGCTTTGATGTTTAAAGGAAGGAACTGAGAATAAATAAAATGGCGGATTTAATACTTGAGAATTACATTGAATTTGGTTTGGTGTTTAAGATTGTAAAATTGATGTTAGAGATGACTTTGAAGCAAAATAATAAGTTAGAATTATTCTGTAAATTGAATAATGAGTGATTTGACGGATTATTGAACCAATGAAATTTAACGTGAATCAAATTCTGTATGAAGTAAAAGAACTCATGATATCTAAGAACAATACAATCATTGATCAATAACAAGTAATTACAAGTAAATATACACAAAAGTAAGCTCACAGTACACGATTTTTTATTTGTCTGGTCTTATATTATTTGAATTTTGTTATATATTAAGGTTTTTTCTTACGTTTTATAATGGATAATAATAAGAAAAGAAATAAAATACAGGACGATTAATAACGAGGCGATACATTGCGAGATACACACTATATACAATTCGCAACGGCCGTCCGAATCGAGTCGCCTTGATCGAGTCGAGTTGCATGATAAGCGTGAATCGTTGCTATGACGTTGCTACGGGTTTACGTCGGGTTTACCAATCAGAGAAAAGTTTGGTTTACTGCCGCATAGGGTGGGGATAAATTGAAGTGTTTGTTCAGTGGCGTAGCAAGACCCTCGTGGGCCCCCCTCCCGCAAAAATATTTTGTGGAAATGACCATAAAAACTCTCGGACATAAGCTAAAACAACGCTTTTTTTTTATTGTGTGGGCCCTCCCGCAACTGCGGGGGTGGATGCTACGCCACTGGGTTTGTTACAAGTCAAACTTTCGAGTCAAGCTGAGCTTGGGTGCTCGCTTCTGAGAAGTTGCTAGTAATTTCCATTTCTTCATCGTCAATTTCGACATCGGATAATTCGTGTATTTCTTAGTATATATAAAAGGGTCAAATAACATTATAATCCATAGTTACACAATGTACATTCGCTAAACAAGAAGCAAATTGGCCCTATGTATGTAAAGTTCGATTCCCGCGCTATTGAATTGACACTCGTTACGAAATGTGACTCCAATCTTGATTCCTCCAGACGTTAATAAGCACACAATATATGGAATGCCAATTGTTATATAGAAAGATGCACAATCCAATCCGACTACAGATAAATTGAAAAACACTTAACTTTTAACGCAGTAAAATCAGAATAAATCAAAAGCACAATATATTTCAGCTCTCTCTCGGCGTGGCAGGAAACGATAGGTCATCAAATTGGTCGCATGTAGGCTTTCTCGCTGTCGCGAATCATAAATTGGCCTATTTTGTGAAATGTAACATACTATCAGTATGAAAGGGTTAAATACATATGATCCATAGTTACACAATGCACATTCGCTACACTATTTAGGCTACAAGTAGAGTTCCAATTGTTTCTCGACATTATAGATTCCATAAATAATGGTAGAATGGATGGGTAAATTGTCAATCCTGAATGTGCATAATGCGCTGCTCCTAATACGACTATGCATTGTGCCCAATGCGCTGCTCCAAATGCGTCCTCACTGTGCCCAATGCGCTGCTCCTAATGCGCTCTCGCATTGTGCGCAATGCGCTGCTCCTAATGCGGCCTCACTGTGCCCAATGCGCTGCTCCTAATGCGGCCTCACTGTGCGTAATGCACTGCTCCTAATGCGCTGCGCGCAATGAGACTTTTAGGCTACCAACCCCTCTCAATTGAAAGGCGCGGCGGCCATCTTGGAAAGTGCGTTTTTCCGGTTTGCATGCAGTGAGTGCATGGGATTTGCCATGCCGGAGGTGCAATATGTAAGATAATTGCTGGAAATTCTTCATTCTGCGCGTTGTAGTGGATTTTTACAGTATTGATGGTGGTCATCAATCAACTTGGAAGCGGATAACACGAACCAAGTAGGGCATAAAGAGAATAAAGTTGTGAAAATCAGGTGGGTAACGTACCCTACTTCCAGTCAGCTACTTGCTCTAGCTTGAGAAATACGAGTAGAGTTTATGAATGTAATTTGGTACAGATACTGGTGGAAGTACCATCCACCTGATATATGGAACCATTTTCCGTGCCAAAATTGGTCCTTATCGTAGCCGTAATACATTATCATAGATCCCCATACTTTGTGATGTTCACTAACTAGGTTTTCTGATTTTGCTCAATGCTTGTAGCTTATATGGTCATTTTCGTTCGTTGATTCAGATCTTGACTGGCAATGAAATATGATAATGCAATGCCAGTCAAGATCTGAACCAATGAGCAATTTCTAATGGGAAACTGTGGAATAGCCCTATATAGTTGAGACCAAATAAACCTATTCTATTAATCCAATATTCGAATATGCAATTTTACACCCAACTTTTATTTTTTAATTACTAGGTGAAGGTGTGAAGTAAATCAAGTCATTAATCTGGTTACAGCGAATTTGTGAGGTGTTTACAGTTCCTTCGTTTCGAATCAACCAGCTCTTCCAACACAAAGCAGAAGGCACTTTCATTCATTCAGTTCGTTTATTTTATTGTTAAATTTGTGATGCAATAAAAATTGGTAAAAAGGATGCTAGCTTATTTATAGGTTCCTGTTACGAAGGGAAATATGCGAGAACTGCATATCAAAAATATGCGAAATTGACATTTATAGGCGCGTGTCACAACAGAAATCTGAAGAAATAGCATATTGAAAATATCTGAAATTGAAATTTATAAGCATGCCACAAAGAAAAATATGCAAAAATGGCATATTAAAAATATATGAAATCGGAATATATAGGTTCATGTCTTAAAGAGAAATATGCCAAAATGGCACATTGAAAATTTACGAAATTGAAATGTATAGGCGTGTACACATGTCACAAAGAAAAATATGCAAAAATGGCATATTAAAAAGATGCAAAATTAGAATTAATAGGCTCAAGTCTCCAAGATAAATATTCCACATTAAAAATCTGCAAAATTAAAATTTGTAAGAGTGTGTCACAAACAGAAATATGCAAATGGCATATTAAAAAGATGCAAAATTAATATTCGAATGTGCGTGTACAGAATGAAATGGGCATGGCCAAAGTTGTACATAAAGTTAATTCCCAAATTTGTTGATTACTGATTTTTCAGCAGTACCAATTTGGTCATGCGCCTTCTAATTCTTGACTGATGGATTTCAGCAGTCTTCTCCTTGGCCATATGCCGGTGCCTTAGGTCACAATGTTTTTTGATGATTTTTTGGGGCTCCCGAAGTATGCTTTTGGGGCTCCCGAAACTCTTGGCTAGTCTTCGAACTGATAATAGGACTAAAATAGGGAAAATTGGAAAAAAATTATCGCCTAACCCTAACCTGTTACCCATGTTACGTTCCGATGTCCGCCATCTTGGTTCGCATACTTCGGGAGCACCGATTTTTTTATGAGGACGTAGAAGTGATTATCTTCAATTGCACATTCAGTCATGTGTTTACCAAGGCTCGTAAATAATCTTCTTGTATCAATAGACTCCAACACAGCGCATGAAATTGCAGTTGTCATTGTCAATCCTCTTTGTTTTGGAATTTCACCATTTGTCGTAAATATCATTCTCTGGATGCAACGCTCTGTTTCTAGGCAGATATACACCACACTATTAGAAGGCTTGGTCAACCCCCTTTGTTCTTGAATTGCAAAAAGCTAGGGTACCAAAACATCTGCACATCGACTACAGCTTGTCACCTTTTTTACAGACTCAGCAACAAAACCAGCAATGTAGCCAATGACAGAGAACTTGTATTCAGATAGCATGGCATAATTCGGCTTGTCATCATAGTCATGTTCAATGGGAGATGGATCTCTCATAACCAGGGGCGCCATTCACTAAACTTCGTAAAAAGTCGGGTTTACGATCTCGTAACTGTGTCTCTCAGAATCGTGATAGCGAAATCTCGTTAAATGCGATTCACCAAAGACCTCGTTAGCACTTGACGCACGGTTAATGTATTCTCTCGAAATCTTACGCTCGTTCGCAGTTGAACAAAATTCACTGACTGGTCACTCAGCCGTATCAGTTATCGCCGCCATCGGGTCGAGCGTGTATCGCTACTTTCTTTTTTGCAGCCTGCGTTTTGTTCATATAGCAGCGCCGTAATCTAGACTGACGGATACATGGAATGAATACAATAAAATGAGTGAGTTTCCAAAGTACCGTTTTGATGTTAGTACCGTACCATACCTAATTGCAGCTTTGAGTTAGTCCGTGTAGCTGTATTCAAGTATTGCAGTGAAACAGTATATGATTCCATCAGAGTAGGTATATATTGCAGTAAGAGCGGTCGCTTCAACTTTAATGTTATTTTCATCTTGCAGATTATCGAGTGTAACTAGTATATAAGGTACCATACCGTAATTACTATGTCAGTGAAAACGAAAAGGGCAAAGTGCTTTTCACCTGATGAGATTGAGGCACTAGTTTCTGGGGTTTCACAACACAGTGAACAAGTTTTTGGGGCTTACTCTCAGAGTGTTACTACACAAACCAAAAGAGCAGCATGGAGAGATATTTCGAACAAGGTGTGTACAAATGCCAAAAGTTGCTAATGTAGATCACAGTTATTGATACGTTGAAAGTGCAATTGCAGGATAGCAGAGCTTTTGATCAAATTTATTATCATTTATCATATTATATTTACTATTTTCTTCATAGGTGAATTCAGTCAATATTACAGGGAGTATTAGAACCGATAGCCAGATAGAACACAAGTGGTACGACATGAAGTCGAATGCCAAAAAGAGGGTCTCTTTGTACAGGAAAGATTTAAAAAAACTGGAGGAGGTACAATTACTGCAAAACCACCTACAGAGATGGACTACAGGATAATAGCCCTTATGGGAAATGAGTCAGTTGAGGGCATACCAGGTGCTGCAGCAATCGAAAACTGGCTTTGTATGTTGAAATTTCAAATATACGTTATACAAAAAATATTGTAGCATATCAATGATTATTGAGCATATGATTTATTTTCTTAGGTCATGCTGAAACATCCTCACTTTCGATGCAAATTTCTCAAGTCAATTCAGGTGACACGTACGAAGGATCATCAAGTAAGTCATGTACCTTTAATCAGTTAATCACTATTGCTGCTAACGACATATAACCCTTATCAATACCTATTTTGATTTTACAGGTCCAATAATTGCATCTTCGCAACCATTTGCGTTTGCAGAACATGAAGACCAAGGCACTGGTATGTATAATTTTATATTGTGCCCTAATTACACAATGAAATTTAACCTGCCTTTTTTTTTTCTCTGATAATAGCAAAAAACCAATATTTGTTCCTAGGGGGTGCGCTTCCATACACTTCATATATTGAAAGTGAAACTTCCTGTCATGACCATTCTGCATCGTCTACAGTCAGCAGCAAAAGGAGCAAAAGAAAAAGAAGACGCTGCGATGACGAGGCGAGTGACATTGTCACAATCCAAAGAGAAATAAAAGAACTACTGCATAGTTTGGTAGACTCTCACAAGAAAATGGAAAAAAGTCTGGCAAAAATTGCTGAAAAATATTGTGACTCGAAAATATAGTGACTCAAAATTGTAGTACCTGTACCTTGTATATGGGGTGATCCATAAGTGGGCAGGCTGCCAAAAAACTTGATTAATACTGTCAAACTACATTTGGTTCTCTCTGTACATTTTTTCATTTAGCCTGGAATTTCATTACAATTCGCACGACTTTTTATGCTGCCTGTTACTATTGACCAATACTCCATCCCATCTTTAAACTATTATCGTAATGTGAACAGGTTTCTAAATATGGCACCAAAACAGAAAATGTGAATTAAATACATATTGTTAATTGGAAATTCCCACGAAATGAAATTCCCACGAAATGAGTAGGCGATAAGAAATGTGCTGGCTTATTGCTCCTACCATAATCGTGCATCAGTCAGTCTGCCAAACATTAAATCGCATTCGAATATTTTGATGGAGCACAACAGTGGGAGAGACCCTCCTTATAGCAAGCAATACGAAACTGACAGTATCACTTTCGAGATATGTGAGACTAGACTATTATTCAAAGTGGTTACAACAAAATGATAAAATACAGCTCTGGCGTAGATGTTGACATAATTAATTTTGAAAGCTGCTGAACATAAATTTTTCAAAAAGTAACACTAGGGCTTGACCATGTCATCATCTTCCGGAATTTCTTGCAAGTCACTAGATTCAGATATTTCAATGGAGTTTTTTATTCAACTTAATTTTTGCACCCACAGTTTGATGTTGAGAAATAAAGATCTTTGGCCTGTCCTGTTTCATGGGAAGGGCTTATTTTAAAATTCCGGCTAGGGTGTTTTCCCAAAAATAAGACCTAGCCGGAATTTTAAAATGAGCCCTTCCCATGAAACAGGACAGGCCAAAGATCTTTATTTCTCAACATCAAACTGTGGGTGTAAAAATTAAGTTGAATAAAAAACTCCATTGAAATATCTGAATCTAGTGACTTGCAAGAAATTCCGGAAGATGATGAATGACATGGTCAAGCCCAAGTGTTACTTTTTAAAAAATTTATGTTCAGCAGCTTTTAAAATTAAAGTGTGTTATTATTTATAAGTAAACGATTTTGAGTTTTCATATTTTGTATACTCTCCAACGCAAAATTTAATACCGGTACTTAAAAATTGAAAAAGGAACGCAAAATTAAGACTCATTTATTTTCTTAAAGAAATTTGAAGACCTAATTTCACGTTACTTTTTCAACATGTATAGGGGGATTATGACTCGCTGCCAGGGAGTTGTCAAAAACTTGATACAACCTGGAAATTGGCGAATAGCGTGACGTCATCACTGATTCCGCCATCCCCTTGCGACAAGTCTATCAAACATTTCAGAAAGATGTGTCAATATTAATATGGTCACTCCCAGCTCAGTTAAGGGCTTGGTTGGGGCTGCTTATGTCACAATCATTGAATGACGAAGTGTTCCGAATATTCAAATTTGATATTGTGACACAAACAGCCCCAACCAAGCTGAGAGTGGCCATATTCAAATCGACTCGATCTGAAATGTACATGACACATGTCGCAAGGGTATGAGGTAATCTGTGGTGACGTCACGCTTGTCACCAATTTCATGTGTATTAAGTTTTTGACAACACCCTTACTGCAAGTAACTAAAACTTGAAACTATGGCCGAACGCACGGACTCTGCAGTGGGTTCGAAATCATCTTGTGCTGCAGTGTCATCTGTGTCTGGTACAGGGTAAATTCTCCCATTGGAAGGCAGAGGAACATTATTTCTCCTGCACATATTGTGTAGAATAACACAGCATACTATAATTTTCGCAACTTTCAATGGTGTATAGCACAATTTGCCCCCGGTATGATCAAGAATACGCCACCTTTGCTTCAACACTCCAAATGCTCTGAAACAAAATGCAGTTATTTATCTCTGATGCGGCATTTAACATACAATTTTGAAATGCAACATAATATTTTATTGTGTACATTGTGTAAATTTTCTGTCTAGCTGTTTGGTTGGAAATACTTGGGAGTAAGTATGGTCATTAAGATTTGTTTATTTGCTATCTGCTATAAAAGGCATAATATTAATTTATGAATAAACTTACTTTTCGATAATCACTCTTGTCTTTTTGTGTGCAATATTATATCTTTCAGCGGCTGTCCCATTGGGATTTGATATTGGTGTCATCAACCATTTTTTTAATGGGTCCACTGTCCCCAAGCAGCAAGCTGTTACCAAATTGGCCACTTTCGAATTTGTCATATATGTTGGATTGTTGTAATATGAACGAATCATGACTCTAGCCAGGCCATTTGACCACAATGTCTGTGAAGATCATATTTTCATCGCAGATTGCCTGCAATTGAGACAAGATGAAATAAATAAAATGTAAAAGCAGTTTTATAAAGGAAGAGTTGAATAACATTAGTGATTCTAAAGATCTCGCCCACAGAAAACAATGAAACATTATTGAAATATAAGCATGCTCACCTGTACATTCAAGGAATGAAAATTCTTTCGACAAATGTAAAGATGTTCGTTGGCAGCAGGAGCAATAATGGACACATGGGTCCCGTCGATAGCACCAATAACATTTGGAAACTTGCTTATATTATAGAAGTTCATTTTGGTTTCAAATGGATCCTCTGGCATATGTATAAAATCATTTGCAAGCTCACCTAGGGCATTAAGAAATCTAGAAAAAACTCTACTAGCAGTTGGCTGGGAGACGTTAATAATATCCTTTGCACTAGACTGGGAGCTTCCGGAGCCTAGTAACTTCAGGCTTATTAGGACCTGCTCCTCCACCGACAGTGCACGTGAACGCCTCGTAAAGGGTGCCAGTTTTGGATGTAATAGTTGGCACAACTCTGTTATTAATTTTTTATTGAGTCTATAGTCTTCTATTAAGGTCCTTTCACCTGCATCTAGCGGATTTTTCTTTCTTATACGATATGGAGAGATTGTTGGGGCTTTTCTTCTGCAAGCTTCAATATAAGCAGCCATTTTTGAATCTGTGTTTATAATAACGCTAGAATAAACAAAAAAAAAAAACAATGAACTTAACAATCTCTGAATCTCAACCCTAGTTTACTCTGTAAATGCGGCAGATATCCCACAGCTAAGTTACCGACACTAGACTACATACACGCTTACCCGAGTAAGGCCTTTTGATACTATGCCAATTTTTACAAAGTATGCTAACGTCTAAACGACACTATTTTAACTTGAATCACTGCCGGGAGCAATACGAACTGTTAACGAGGCGAAGATTGTTCTCGTTTGCTAGCGAGCTCTTCAGCGCGTTAAAGAAGTTTGCTGAATACCATTTCTCGGTAAAATGAGAGAAGAAGGCACTTTACGAGACGTCTCATTTGGCGCCAAAAAAATTCTCTCGAATAACTTCTCTCGAATATTTACGAAGCTCTGTGAATACCATTTTTGCTTTTTACGAGAGAGTCGGCGCTTAACTAACACGTTAGACGGTAACGAAGCTTTGTGAATGGGGCCCCAGGTCATACTTCCGCATAATGCTAGCTGTAATTAAACTCACATTTTCTTCATGGCCAGTGCAACTCTCAACAAGGTGGAGCATCCGTGTACAATCCATAGGTTGACAATTTCCTCCAGTACATTTTATACCACTCCTCACTAACATGCGCTTGTAAGCAGCAGTAAATTGTTGGGCAGTGGGCTGGTTGTTAAAGCCACCAGCTGACCGGACTGCGCAGAAAAATAGCTCCAGATGATCTTGACTCATTTTGTACATCAAAATGTAACGAAGAACGCCACTTTCAACAAAATCACTGAAGAGCACCTTAACGCTGGCAATTGATACCAGGAATTCTAGAAAGCCAGTTTTGCGCCTAGATGATGAAACTGGAGTGCCGGTGCTGGTCATTAGATTTGAAATATACTGGGCGCATGCGTCAAGAAAAGGGAGCCATAAATGCTTGTAGTTGGTGCGCAATGGAGCCTTGTATCCTTTGCCAAGTGGGTTCCTTGAGTTTAAAACATCAAACATATGGTCAAATTTTCTTATAAATTCAACAGTTGCATCACAACCATTGAACTGCTGTAAACGCAGGTGTTGGTTGCAAAACTCCAAGGCATCTGCGACCCCCGGCTGAGTGTTTGTGCAGCAATGTTTACTTTCATTTTTTGTTCTTTCCAGTGGATGTGATCACGTTTCAATTTATTTGCCAATCGAAGTCCTTCCTCCCGCTGCAGCTTTTCCAATGCCCTTATGTATTCCCAAGATATGGTCTGGCCACTGTGATTTTTTAGAATACCAAAAGTCCGCAAAAGAGTCGCTTGGATTATATATACGCTTTGGTCTCGGCGACAGATAAATTGTCGACAAGGCGAAAATATGACAATTTATCGATTTTAATCGCTGGACAATAATCGTGACGTTAATCTTGCGACGCGGAGAAGACATTGTTTTAATTAAGTTTTTTTTTAATCAGAATCACGGCCCTTTTTTGAAAATTGCTTCGAATCAGACTTGATTCGAATCGATATTTTGAAATTTACATCCCTACTCTTGGCTGTTACCCTTCTAACTTAAATGGTACGCTAATTCGAAGAATCCACCTTGGTGAATACCATCGTCGATTTCAGAATAGGATATTCCAACTCTTAAGTTTTGTGCAATGACAAGTCGTTCCTGTCGGTTTGACTTTCTCTCCATCAATTGATAACATATGGAATATATATGTCTTGTTACTAGGGATGTCCGTAACCGAAGCCACAATTCCTTCTTTTTTTTTTATCTCAGAGCTGGGTGTGAGCTCAGAATTCATACCTCTAGAAAGGTTTTTAAGGTTGACAAAAAGCATCAAATATCAGCCCAAATGAAGTTTTATGGAAGTGGGACTCAAAAGTATGATATAAGTTTTAATATATAAATTCAACTTAAGATTTTGAATCAATATAATTGTATTGAAGTTTACAAGGGTAGATTTTATTATCATTTGTATCCAATAATAGAAAATTATAGATATCAAAAAATAATTAGGGGGTTCGGAGGAGAAGCCACTAAAATTTCTGGTAGCTCGGCTCCAGTTCCATGGTTCCGGATTCTGATTCCCCAGCCCTGCTTGTAAAACAAAGATGTTGAAATCAATCAAATCAACACACTTTCGAAATCAATAAAATGAAACAGAAATTTTTTGAAATTTATGTGCACACTTGAATGTTTTTTTATAATAATTCATGGTCGCATGTTTAATCTGGTTCGAAGTTTGCCTATTGTAAGGCCGGCACTTGAGAACACTCGCTCTGCTGGTGCAGATGTTAGGGTATGCAGAAATATTTTTTGCGAGAGCAAATAAATACTCTGCCTCTGCACGGTTTTCATTCCACCAAACCATAGCAATGGCATTGCCGCCGATTTTCATTTGGGTGTACCAGTTGATTTGGCGCATAATCAAATCTTCATTATTGGAAGAATCATCGTTGCCACCAGACATACTGGTGTTGGTGTGATAGTGCCAGATGTCCTACCTTGCTCATGATTTATTAAAGTGTAACTTTAATCTGCAAATATAAATGCACTAACATTACGATAGAACAACTGGGTATAACATTTTTGTCCTATAACTTCGTTACCCCTAAAATCGGCAAGGGCAGATTTCATGTAACGATACTGCGCCAAATCAAGAAGTGACATCATCAAAGTGTAGCCTCATGCCAGACATCTATTGTATATTTTTGTAAGCTATATTCCAGCATCTTTTCGAAAAAGGTTACAAAACTTGTACCTGGATTTGTAATTTGGGTCCAGAAATGTGGCCAGTTTATATACATCATCAGACACATTGTCAAAATATTATTTATGGTATTGCAAACATTTCCAGGGATGTACGAATCCAGGAGGCAATGTTCTCTCCCGTGTGACTGTCTATGACCTGGCAGGTTGCAGACACATATGTTTTTATGCCAGGGCCTGCCCAGAAATGGCATGTTTTCCCGATATAGGACCACTAGCTAGAGCTAGACCACATTTCCCTAGTCAGAGCCATATTTTGAACTGATTCGAGAAAGTCAATCAGTTTGAGCTTACATTTTTCGTATCTGACCTCAATTTATCTGGTGAAAATTTGACGGCTTGGGATCTTGTAGTCGGGCTCGATATAACCTATTAACTTCGTAAAATTGGTGCCGTGTACCCAGTGGCGTAGCATCCACCCCTGCAACCCCCGCGGTCGCGGGAGGGACCAAAGCGGCTAGAATTTAGAAATCTAAGCCGAAAAACCAAAAGCTGCATTACAAAAACAGTAATGCACATTCTATAACGTTGATGTTAGTTCTGCTCAAATCGTTTTGTTACGTAACTATGCCAGGTAATCGTCGATTTTCGGCGTCTTGTGGTTTGATCGCACCGGCAAAATTACGAAGGCTGTCAGAATGATGTCGAAAGCAAAACCTCTCAGTGGCACACAGAAAAGGGGCAGAAGAGGAAGCACGTATGAAAAAAATTAAAGTAACCAAGATAAACATCAAATTTTAGGTTACCATTACCTTTTAATAGAGACATGTTGTGCTTTTCGACGAAATAAAAAAAGCGTTGTTTTAGCTTATGTCCGAGAGTTTTTAAAGTCATTTCCACGAAATATTTTTGCGTGTACCATATTTGCAGATCGCATGTCACCTACTATCATGTTCTCCAGCAAAAAAGTAATTTGAGCATTCATTTGTTTGCTGAGTGGCCTTTGACCAAATTGAATCATTGTCACTTGGCCACGCAAAGAAGTTTTGATATCCCCATGACAAGCTTGTCGGTATCTTCGTTTTCGTTGGCATGGGATTCTAAATTTTCTCTCTTGATCTTCATAATGTTCTGAAAGATATCATAAGTCATCTTCCAAATCCAATGTTCTGTTTTCAAGGCTGTGTATTAATTTTTCATGTTTTTCAAGTTCGTCCTAAGAACTTTCTGGTCGGAGATGGTTCAATTATCAAAAGCTCTGATTTGATCTCGTCTATCGACCGAGTTTGAGAATCCATTAATTCTTTGAGGCCAGGACTCTACGGGATATACTCTGATGCCATGTGGGGGTTGTTGGAGTTATTATACCAGAGAACTGTATCTCTAAGTTCTTCTGGATGGTATCTTTAGCATGCTTGACATTGATGTTGAGATGCATCAGTACCTGTGGATTTTTAGTAAACTGGTCGTCGACGTCGATACTAAAGATATGGAGGACTTGACTTTGATTTGCATTGAGAACCTTTCATTTTAGCATGTAAAAGTGTAGCAGTTAAATTTGTTAAATTAATAATTTTAGTTTAGTGTTAGATATCTAGAGCCTTAAACTGTAAAACAGTATGTCGGCTCTCTTTCAGGTAGTTTCCAATTGGATCCATTAAATACACTATTTAGGGGTGGCCAACAGATCGTTTGATATCGACCATAAAATTTCTTACAAGCTCGCGATCGATTGACTGGTCAATGATGCTGTTGTTGCAAAAAAGCCTATACGTAACTTTTCTAAGACTTCTCCAGTGCTATGACTCATTTCTTTAACACACGTTACCAACGCTGTTAACAGCAACAATTATTAATGAAAATTGTTTACTAAAATAGACATTATAATTAGTCACTTGGTTTTGATGAATGAACCAGTTTAATAAATGCCTAATAAGAAATAAAAGCACACAAAAACAATGATCCACACTACATTTAGTGAGATGTTTGAGTTATCATATCGTTGATCACCGATCTAAGGCTAAAGTAGTTGTTTTTGCCAAAGTATAATATAGTTTTAGGCTTCTTTGCTGTTCACTTAGATCGGTGGTTTTCCTTTTCAGTTTGCAAACCTTTTTCAGTTTGCGGACCGGTAAATTTCAAAACAAATTTCGCGGACCAGCGGGTTTATAAAATTACCCAAAAATATCATTAACACAAAACATATTCAGAAGAATGCAATTACAACTAAGGTAGGCGATGCAAAAGAAGATAATCCAATTTAATGAAAAATTTGCCACTGTCTTTTTGATATTATACGTCTTAAACGGTTAAATGAAGTTTCTGCAAGGCAAAGTAAAGCGTTGACTTCCGCGTAGTTTGAAAGAATTTTGGCACAGACTAGGCACACGGGAAGTGGTACTGTTCCACTGTTAGGAGCGTTAATGAAACCTAGCACCAAATATATCTTATTATACTTCCTAATAAAGTCTCCCTTTCGTCTTTGCTTGTTTCTGCGTGATCCATACCAACATTGCTGCAAGGTCGTTTCGAGGCATCTTGTAAAGTTGAAGTAGTAGTCCCTTCCTCTGTCAACACCACTAATTTTTTCTTTTAAATAATTTGTTGGCCTCCCTTTTACAATCAAACCTCGCTAAATTATAGCCCTACTGTCAAATTACGGAACTGCGAAGTCGCAATCAGGTACTGTATTATGTGCTATCAACCTCCGTCATGACGTTAGCCGTCGTTATGAAGTCATAGACTTAACGAACATCCAGGCGTTCACGTCTTGAAATGGGCA